CACACACATGCACGCACACACACCTCATTGGTTCTGTTTCCCTGGAGAACCCTGACAAACATAGGCCTCTTTGTGTTGCCTTTTGACTAGTCTGCTCTCCACCTCCCATTATGTAGAGTATTTTTTTTCACTTCCTGTTCTTTAGTTATCCATGAAAACACCAGACTTACAATTAGTGAAATACACCTTTTGTCCTTATAACTTCGTCTTTATTAGTTATTCTCATATATACCATGTATATTGTTCTCTGTGCTTCAAAATTCCTCATATTAAAATATGAAAAGAGGGTACTCTCCTCACTCTTTTCTGCCTTACTTACCGGATCTGTTAGTACAAGAGTGAAAAATCACTTGTGTAAAGTTTTATGTTGTCTGTAATTTGCTTCCAATTATTTCAGCATACACATCATAATATTTATGGGTATAACTTTGTTTTAGGAGCCTTTAGTTAGCATTCCAGGTACAACAATCATGACTTACACTCTAGGATTAGTATTTGAAGGACCTTAATTAGAAGTCCCTACTCCAGAGATATGTACTTTAAATCTGCATAGGAAGGTTTATTAACGTTAGAAATGTTACAAATAATTGGTGAAATGAGTGATGTTGAAAATGTGTGGATTGGTTTCAGAAATATTTTATGTTAATGGACTTCGAGTCAAGCAAGCTTAGTTTTTGGAGTAGCACTTAATTCTGGTACTCATTTGGTCCTGTTTTCTAAACTGTAGGATTCTGTTGAGGGATCCAGTTAGGTGGTTAGACACATCCTACAGTAGAATATTGTCACAACTGCTTTTAGTATACCTTCACACAGGTTACTTCTCAGAGGAACTAAGGGACAGAAATCTGGGACTTTACCAAGCTTGCAAGATAGAGCTGTAGGTCTGTCTTTTCACTTTCCTGCTCATCAATGTTTTTATATGCAGGAGAAGGCCTATTTAGAATCTCTGGAGACTGCCAACTCTTACCTCCGAATGCCTGATGATTATGAACTCCAGTTTGGCTTATGTCAGTTTGCAATAAGAACCTAACATACTCCCTGACACACGCTAAGCAATCAAGAAACTGTAATTCTTCCTATTATAAATCAGCGGAGGAAGAAAAGGAAACTGAGGTTGTATGCATCATTCTAAGGCTGTCAGAATCCTCCTTTCTGAAGATGGTTTATCACAAAATTTGTTTTTAAAACTTTATGATATGAACTGTCTTCTCCATACTTTCTTAGTTTCAATTTAGAGTCTCTTTAACCAAGCCACTAAAATCATGTGAAGGTGAGTTAAAGTTCTGCCAAGGAAGCTTGAGATAAGTGGGGCCCAATTGTGGAAGCCTGTGAATGCTGGCTAATCTCCAGGAGCACGCTGTGCCAAGTCATCATCTGAAACACAGCTTGCTAGAACCTGGAACATTTTCCATCTTTGATGTGTCAGGAGATGAAGCAGAACCCAGATGACAGGCAGAACTGAGACCTTATGGAAGACTTGTGGGAGATTCCTTCCAGTCAATATTTACAGAAAATCCTGAATTCATTTTGACCTGCATTGATTAAAGAAAATGTGTCATAAGGAAGTAAAGGAAATAGGGTGTTGTTTTTGTTTGTTTGTTTTTTCTTATTGTTGAAAAACGTGTTGCTGATGTTTTGTAAAAGTGCTTTAGCTCAAACTACTAGGAATGTGAAAAAGAATGATTCTAGTTGAAATCTTACAATAAGCTAATTTTAACTTTATTTGTTTTTCATAGCCTTGGGTTGCTGGGTCAGAAATGTCATTGCTAACTGTATCTGTAAACTTGTTGCCCCCTAAAAGCCTGCCTCTGCTGCAAAGCAAGGGATAAGGTCTTGTTTTGTTTCCTTTGATCATGGAATAGAATATCGCTTGTTGGCTCTGAAACAAGAAGTCTTAAATTTAAACATCCTTTTGTTTGCTTTTCTCAGTGAAATAACACAGGAACAAGGTGAAGGTGACTGAACATGCATATATATATATATATATAGACATCTTGAATGGTGTTGAATATTACGACCCAGGATGCTGTTGGCCTTTAGTTTTTGCATTTTTGCATTATAGTAGTATCCATGAAGGGACTCTGATTGTTATTTGATTAATTAACTATCCTTATATTTGCAAAGCAATTATGGTAATATGAATAAAAATAGAACAACTATTTTAAGAATATTGAAAGAATCATGACCATGTTGGCAAATGAAGAGGCCTTTATGTAGGTCAATTTTCCTTTCATCTCTGAGGTTCTTCCTGATCAAGGCAAAACAAAGCCTGGCAGGTGATGAGCCATTGTGTAATGATAGTGCATTGCTCTGGACACAGGAAGGGATTTTGGCAGGCCAGTCTACAGTATCATACCTAATTAGTCTTGTAGATTTTTGTTCCAAGGGCATTAAGCATCATAGTAGATGACGTATTCAAAAAATGGGAGTATGAGATATGTGTAGGTATCTGGGGAAATATTGTTACTTCTCATATTACCCTGGGAAAGCTTTCCCTCCCTCCACATTGAACCCAGCATGATTATATAGATTATTTCATTTCATTCTCAAAGCAACCTTATATGGTAGGCATTATTATTATCATAGCCATTTTGTAAATAATGAAACTTAAGCCTAGAGTGGTTTTATAATTTGGCAAGAGCTACATAGCTAGAGAATTTAGGAGATCTTAAACTAATATTGGGATCATACCAATTGAGAATGTATTTATACCTATATGTGTGTAAATAGAGACCCGATAGATCAATAGATACATATGGATATAGATCTGCAATGTGCTTTTTTGGTTTAGTAATATATATATTTCAGAGCCTTTCATGTCAGCAGAGAGATCTTTTTAATCATCACATGAAATTACATGTTTGAATATATCATAATTCAGTAAGACATTTTCTGTATTATTGAACATTTAGGTAATTTCCCATCTTGGTCTATTACAGGTAGTCTGTAATGAACTTCTTTGCACATGTATCTTTGTACACACTTGCAAGTGTCTCTGTAAATACTTAGATATAGCATTATTGGATGAAAGGCATTTACATTTAAAATCTTGATAGCTATTCTCAAATTATGACTTTTTTCCTCCTTTTCCAAGAGTATTCCTTTTCCTGTATCTTCACAAACATTGGGTGTTGCAGTTTTTTTCTTACTGGTGAATGTATGGTATTTCCTTGTTGTAATTTACATTTGCTTAATTTTTAATGAAGTTGAGCATCTTTACCTCCTTTATTGAACATGAGTATTTCTTTGTTGAATTCTCAGTTTCCTTTTCCCTACTTTATATATGCAATTGTTTAAGTTGATAAAGCCCTTCTATATATGATAAATATTCATATTTCATCTTATATTTGGCAGTATTTTCTCCTAATTAACTTTTCTTATAATTTCATTATCATAAATATTGTGACCTAGAAGTTTTTGGCATTAATTTTTAATCAAATCATTTATTCATTTTCTTCAGAATGTCTAGGATCTGTGGCTTTTTAGGAAGGTCCTCTCCAGCCTGTTATACATTGTCCCATATCAAAAGGACTGTCCAAGAGAATACCATAAGCCTAAAGATTTAAGAAATATATTAGAAGTTTCTATGGAAGAGGCATAGGAAGCATATTTTATGAAAAGGTTAATTAAAAAGGTACAAAGCCCTTTGAAATGTACCCCTTAGAAATGTGTATTTTGAAACAGAAATGCTTATTGTGTTGGAGAAATGTGGTAGAGACCAGTGAATGGCACAAGGCTATGAAAACATGTTGAGAGCCAGGAAGAAAAACAGTTACCTATTCTGGTACAAAATCTAAAAATGACACAATTTTGAGAAATATGTACCACTGGGAACCACACTACATCTGCTTCTATATATGCGATATATATTTCTGGTTTATAGTTGCCATTTATAGCATGTAAGAGTTGCCAGTTTTCCAATAATATGAATGTAAAGCACATCTGGACTAGCAAAGCCAGCTTTGGAGGCAATAGAGTTGATTTCTTTCATCTCTGACCTTCTGTTCCGCTTTCTATTTTTAATCCCTTTTTATGTGTGTGTTTTTTTTTAAACTGCTCACTCATAGATTTTAAGATTTTGGAGGACATGACAAAGTTTTGTCAGGCACAGTTTAGATACTTTAGAATCACTGAATTTAATTGAAATGTCAGTTTTATTATGCAAATTAATTTGGCTTGATGAATATTACATTTCTTTTAAGTATTCTTCAGTGTATTAAGTGAGGGACTGTATACCTATTTCCAGTTACTTTTCAAATAAAGTAAACATTTCAGCAGAAATAAGGACAATTAAATTTCTTACAGCTATATCTAAAAACCACATTTAGCAGTCTTTTGAATGATTTATGTCAGAAAGAAAGGGCTAGCAATATACTATTTTTTCTGCGGCTCTTGAGCAATATTTTGATAGTTGTTTCATAGAAAGGTTCAGTGAGAATTTAATTTATGTCCAGTGAGAATTTAATTACATCCAAATAAAATGAACAATGACAAATGAGAGGGTAACACAGCCCAGTACAGTATAGAATAGAAATCAGTGTCAGTGGTTCTGTGTTTGAGGTATAATTATGGTACCAACACACTACAACATCAGGGCTTGTATACTTCATAGCATGAAACGGCTTCAGTGTGGGTATTTGCTTAGGTAGCTTCAAGGTGCTTTACTTTAGTTTCATTGCAGCCAATAAGGTATACTCTGATTCTATAAAAAGTGATGAATATTGCTATCCAAATAATGTATTCTGTTGCTACTTTTGTCTCCCAGATTATTAAAGTGGTAGAATGACTCATACATTTTTAAAATTAATGTTATTTTTCTTCTGACTCAGTTTTCCTTTTCTTAACATCTCAATTGATTTTATGACAAAATAGTTGTTTTGAAGAAATTCATCATATAAAATTTTTAACTCATGTAGTTTTGTAAACTTAGAAGATTTTTTTTTTAATTAAGAAAGCTGTCTTTTCTGAATCATCATATTTTTGTTGACCTCTTACTGCAGGTCTTCAGCACATATTCCAACGAAGACTATGACAGGAGGAATGATGAAGTTGACCCTGTGGCTGCTTCAGCAGAGTATGAACTTGAAAAGCGTGTAGAAAAGCTGGAACTTTTCCCGGTGGAACTAGAAAAAGGTATATGAGCTCTACGGTGTTAATAATATGATATTGCTATGTTAATAATATAGAAATGACCTTAGTTTTCCTAAGCATAGCCTTTTTCCCCTAAAGATTGAGTTAAGTTTTCATTCTCATGGAGGATTTTGTTTATGAAATTTCAAAAGTAGTTTCTATGGTTTCTATACAGATGGTGGATAGGAAGATACTTCCCTTACCCTCCCCACTGAAACCCATCTGCTGTAGTTGGCTGGGTTGGTGAGTATCAGTAGGGAGGTATGAGTGAAGTCTGATGTTTCCTTGGTATTCCTACAAAGCATTGGTGCAGTTAGAGTCCAGAGAGAGCTGCTGTGAGAGCTTGAGTAGGTGGCTGTTTTGGTTGGTTTTTTCTTTGGGGGGCGGAGTAGAGAGAGAGAGTGGTCATGGTTAGAATCCGAATATAGTAGATATGGGAAGTGTTGGGCCTTTAGAAAACGATGGATTTTGAAATGAAGGCAGTGGAATCCTCTTCATCTCTGTGGGGAGAATGCTAAAAGAAAGTGGGGAGGACAGACAGGGCAGGGGCATAGGGACTTCCTCCTGATTTGTCTCCCTAGAATCACAGCCTTCCTGCTTCAGTAACTGGGGACTTAGAGGACTAGAGACTGCCACATTTATCATCATAAATCATCACCCAGGAACTGAGCAGAACAATATAACATCTCAGAGAGAGTTGGAAAAAAGCAGAACAAACAGATGACAACTTGAATAACAGAAGAGAAACAAACAAACAAAAAACAAATAAAGATATTTAAGTATGCCTTAAAAAGACATTCTTAAGCAAATTAACAACAACGATGTTAATTTTAAACCTAAAAATTTCAGTAGAGGAATTGAAGAGGAAAGAATGGTTGTTGTTGAGACTCAAATTGGTGATCTAGAAGGTAAAGCATAAGAAATGCCCCAAACTAATTCCAAATGACAGAGCAAAAATCCAAGAGAAATCATGAAGGAGACCCAACATATAAGTTGTGAAAGAAGAAGAAAAGGCAAGAAAAGATGAGAGACATATTAGACAAAATAGAAATTTTTCTGTACTCCAAAAGGACCTGAGCCTCATATTTGAAAGAGATTAGCCAATTGGTTTTGAATGACAAGACTTAAAAAAAGTTTCCCATACTCAGTTATATAGCCTGGTAAAAATGCTAATCTTCAAACATAGAGTGAAAATCTTAAAAAATACAAGGCCAAAATCAAAGCAAACAAAGAAGCAAACTTGCTTGAAAATGTAAAATTATTAGACTAGCATCAGACTTATCATTTGTAACACTGGAGTGGAAAGGCATAAATACCATTTCATCACCACTGAGAAGAAAAAGGATGATCCAAGGATCCTGTATGCATCCCACAGAGCATTTACCTATCCTGGTAAAAGAAAGAAATTTGCTGGTATGTAAGGATTTAGAGAACACATCCCTCACATACTTCCCAATTAGCAGGGAGGAAAAGAAACAAAGAGCAGTTTGTTCAAAACAGCAGGGTTGAGGGAAAAAGAGTTGAAAACTATGTGTAAGTATTAAGCATAAAATTGCTTGGATGAAAAAAATATTAAAAATACCAGTTATTACACTAAACATGACTGGCTAATAATTGTCCCTTTCATTTCATCAAGACACTTTCATTTGAGGTAAAGTGCACGTAAGAGTGATGATGAATGAAGATGTTGACACTTTTCATACATTTAAAAATGTAAAAAACATTCTTAGCTAATGGCCTATACAAAGACAGTTGGATTTGGCTGTGAGTCATTGTATTGCTTATAATAACAAAAATGAGAATAGTCTAACTATTCATCAATGATAAAAAAGAATATATAAATTGTAGCATATCTGTTCCATAAATATTACTCAACAGTAGAAATGAAGGACCCACAGTTCCATGCAGCAGTGTGTATGACTCTTACAAACAAGAAATTAAGGGGCACGGGATGGGTAGTGGAAAGCAAGTCATAGAAGCCATTCAGTACAATTCCATTTCTTTAAATTTCAAAGTCAAGAAAAATTAAATAGCATATTGTTTAGAGACACACAAATACGTGGTTTTAAAAATAGTATTAAGAAAAGGAGGGAATGATTAACACGATATTTAGGATAGTGGTTACCAAGGGAAGAGTTATGGTATCAGGGAGGCATACATAGTGGGCTTTTGGGATATTGATAATGTTCTCTGTCTTTGTTAGTACATATATGTCTGTTTTATTTTTGTTTAAATATAATGTTTTGTCTATAAATGTTTTCATAAACTCTTATTTGTATGCTATATTAAATAATAGAAGTTAAACTACAAAAATTTGACTAGAAGCGGACTAAATGAAATACAATTATTTTTAATTTTCTGGGGAACCTTCATACTGTTTTCCATAGTGCCTCCACTAATTTACATTCCCATCAAACAGTGCACGATAGTTTTCTTTCCTCTTCATTCTTTCCAATGCTTGTTATCTCATCTTTTTGATGATAGCCATTCTAACAGATGTGAGCTGATATCTCATTGTCATTTTGATTTGCATTTCCCTGATGATTAATGTTGTTGAACACCTATTCGTGTACCTGTTGGCTATTTGTATAACTTCTTTGCAAAGATGCCTATTCAGTTTGTCTGCCCATTTTTAAATCAAATTTGTTTTTTTGCTACTGAGTTTAATGAATCTTTATGTATTTTGGATATTAATCCCTTATCAGATATGTGATTTGCAAATATTTTCTCCCATTCCATAGGCTGCCTTTTTATTCTGTTGATGGTTCCTTTTTCTATGCAGAAGCTTTTTAGTTTGATGTAGTCCTACTTGTTTATTTTTGTTTTTGTTGCCTTTGCTTTTGATGTCAAATCCCAAAAGTCATTGCCAAGACTGATGTCAAGGAGCTTATCTGCTGTGTTATCTCCTAGGAGTTTTATGGTTTCAGGTTTTATATTTAAGCCTTTGATCCATTTTGAGTTGATTTTGTGTAGTGTCAGATAGGGGTCCTGTTTCATTCTTTTGCACGTGGCTGTCCAGTTTTCCCAGCACCATTTATGGAAGTGGCTATCCTTTCCCCATTGTTTATAAGATATATACAGTATATTGGAATCAAGAGCCTCCTTTGTCATAAATTGATTGACCAGATATACATAGGATTATTTCTAGGTTCTCTATTCTGTTCCATTGATCTTCCATTGATCAGTTTATCTGTTTTTATGGCAATACCATAAACAGTACCATACTGCTGATTACTATAGCTTTGTAGCATAGTTTGAAAATCAGTTAGTGTGATACCACTAGCTTTGTTCTTTCTCAAGATTGCTTTGACTATTGGGAGGTTTTTGTGATTCTGTATACATTTTAGGATTATTTGTTCTATTATAGTGAAAAATACTATTTGAATCTTGATAGAGATTGCATTGAATTTGTAGATTGCTTTGGGTAATGTGGACATTTTAACAATATTAATTCTTCAAATCCATGGGCATGGAATATATTTCCATTTATTTGTGTCTTTAATTGCTTTCATCAGTGTCTTATAGACTTTATTGTATACATCTTTCACTTCCTTGGTTAAGTTCATTTCTAGGTATTTTATTCTTTTTGATGTAATTGTAAATTGAATCATTCTCTTAATTTCTCTTTCTGATAGTTCATTGTTAGTGTATGGGAATCTAAATATGATACAAACTATATATAGACCATAACGCTAACAGAATTTTACTTTTAAATTGAGGAAACACTAAAAATACTTCAATTAAAACTAGGAGTCAGATTTGCAATGCTCTTTAAATGTAATAATCAGTATAAGCAATAGAAAATAAAAGATGAAAAGTAATCTTTTTCTTATATGCACTATACTATACTATAATATAATATATAATGCATATTATAATTACAGTTGGCTCTTGAACAACATCAATTTGAACTGTGTGGATCCACTTGTATGTGGATTTTTTCCAGTATTAAATACTACAGTACTACATGATCTACACTTGGTTGACTCGGTGGATGTGAAAGCATGGATATGGAGGAACCACATGAACAGAGGGCCAACTATAAGTTACTCAAGTATTTT